TAGAATAGTGAGCAGAAGATTTAAGGGATCCAACATTCTCCTGACTATATCAAAACAACAAAAGAGAAAATTTTAGACTTGAATGGATAGTCACTACCTAATAAGAGTATTTATTAGTTTCTCACATGGGAGGTCACTCCCATATGTGTATTTTCATTCGACACTTACACAAATCCTTAAGAATAAGTATGGAATTTAAAATAAGTTTTGTGGAATTTTAAAATTCATTAATTTTTAGTATAGTTATCTAGACCCAATCTCACTATCTAATCCAAGCAAGTAAGGAAACTTCAAAATTTCCTTTATCTATTAAAATTTTCCTTTAACAAATCATCTGTCATAATACTTCTTAAGATATCACCCATTAATAGGTAACATAAAATGATATCCTATATAATCTACTAGATGATAATATCCTTATGGTTAGACTTTCTCCACCATGAACAAACCTTTTTAGGTTGGCTCAAGTTTACCTCCCAACTTCTGGTGGGCAAGGATGTTTCTTCGTAGAAGCAAAATAACTCCCTCACTTGGAAAGTTCTTGGATAAACTAATTTATCGTGGGCTTGAATCACCTTTGCCATATATAGCTTGAGGTTCTAAGTTTCCCACATATGCTTTTCTTCTAAGCCTTCAAGCTCTATTAACCAAAGTTTTAAGTTATACCAAAATTTATTATAATTTTGAGTTAACATAACTATAATTTTAAAGTTAGGATGGCCTCTTCTCCAAAAATTAAATCATATTATCTAGACTAAGATGGAGTTATATATGTAATTTTATATACCCTAAAAGCCTCAATAACCTTCTCATGCCATTGATGCTTATTATCATCTAAGTTTTCTTTTTAATCTACACCATTATTTTATTGAATGTCTCGGCCAACCCATTTGCCTTAGGATAATAATTTGTTGAGTATCTCCAATCGATATTATAACATCTGATAAAGTTTTTTTTATTTTAGTGCTTTTAAATAATAGAACATTATTAGATAAGATCAGATAAGGATCTTTTAAAAGATATATGATATGGTCTCCAAACATGTTTAGAACATGATGAGATTTAACCTTTCTAAATAAAATAACTTCTGCCCATTTTGAGAAATAATCTATTACTGTTACTATAAATCTATGAACTCTAGAAGATGTTTGATCAATCAAACTAATGATATCCATACCCTAACTTTTGAAAAGTCAAAAATAAATGGTGGTATGTAGGATGTTGTGTGGTTTATGTAGAAATACACTGTACACTTAACAATGATAACATCTATGTTCAACATTCTTTTAGTTTTCTAGCATTAATAGCTAATAATATCATAATGTTTTAATATTGATTCTAATTTTATATCGAAATTGATGTGTTCAACACATTCTAGCATACACTTCCTTTATTAAATTAATAGCTTCTAGTTTACAAAGGCAATGCAACCACATCTGATCAAAAGATCTAAATATAAAGTTCTATTTTCTAGTATTTGCAATCCATGAGCTTGAACTCATATTTTGATGATTACAAATATTATTAGATATTTATTTAATTTTTCCTACTTTATATATTTCATATTTCTTCTATGTGCGCTGCTAACAATTAATGTTCAGCACAAACCAAGCTGCTAGATAATAAGAACTAAAGAATGGGTTCTAAATTTAGAACTTAATTGAAAGAGTTTATAATTTTTTTATACTTAAGTAAATATATGTAAAAGGTGTATATTATCTTAGTAAATATGCTCCCAAAAAGAGGGGGAGTGAAGAAGATATATTTTAATTTTTCTATCAAATTATACTATATTATCCATATCGTACCGTACGATCCATTCAAATAAAAAATAATAAAAATATTTAATTTAAATCATAGAAAATAGCCTTAAGTATAACTAATTATACTATATTAATACCATTTCATATTGAATGATCAAATATAACAAAAAAAACCCAACCATCAAATCTAACTTACCTAAAATAGGTAAATTTAAAATTTAAAATTTGAATGATGTATATTGTACAAAACCTTACATTCTATACACTCTTTTAAACTATTGGCTAATTTAAGTAATATAATTAAGGAATCAAATTAGATCTAAATTTATTATAGATCATATAGTCTGATTATGTATCATACTATATAAATGACTAGCGATACTCTAGATTAATTTTGGTTCATCCTATATGATCTTTTAATTAATTTGAACTAATTTTATTTTATGATTTATAATTTTACTTGATGATCTTTTATGTTATTGAACTAATTATAATGTATAATTCACTTATTCTAATTTACTAATTGTTCCATTAAAATTGAATTTTTAGGATTTTTTGAACACACTATATAAGCTCTATTATAATATTTATAGAATTCTTTGGTAGTCTAAGGGTATGAGTCTTTTGTAAGTATTATTTGGAAGAGAGGATCTTTAGAAAGAGAGAGAAAGGAAAAGTTATGAGGTAGGGAGAAGATCCTTAATAGTTCAAGGGAATTTGAGAGAGAGTTTTCACATGGTTTCTCCAACCAACATCTACCTTTGTAAATCTATTATTTAATGTTTATCTTAAGAGAACCTCTATAGTGAACCCCTTGGTGTCAAAGGGATACTAGTTACTCTGTCACACTAGGAAAGGTGAAAGTGATTGGGCTACTCATCCTCATCCAAAGGGTGAAAGTGATTAGAGATATTCCACCTAATTGGGAGGGTGAAAGGGATTCAACTACTCTATCTCATGTTAAGTGTTAATTAATTAAAATTCATAATTATAAATTTTAGAGAAAATATATTATTTTAGTTGTGTTTGTACAAAAAATGTTAAAAAATAATTAAAAATTATAACTAATAAGTAGCAGCATGGTACCAATTTATATCACATTATAGCTCCAAGATCATCACCTTGAGGCACCCATTTCTAACATAATAGCGCCAATCTTCTCTATTGGTAATCATCAAAGTGGTACTATAGTCAATGTCATAGTGTTGCACTGTGCTGTTGTGCAAAAAATTCAGTACTGCACCACAAGGTTTCTTGGGTAAATGAGTGTCACAGAGCCATACCTTTCAAAACCTCAGTGCTTGATTCCCCATTTGAGCATCATCATAGTGCTCAAAGTATTAGAGCACTATGGAAAAGAAATTATAAATTTGAGCAGTTACACTAACTTAGCAAAAAGATGTGCCATTTCAATCAATAATTGTGCCATGTCAACTAGCGCCATGGCGGAGTAGACTTTACGAAGCTTAGAAGCAAATTCATTTTTCACCATCATGGTGCCACCTTGTCGAGTGTCACAGTGCTTGAACCTACCCATGTACTTAATATAAATAGTTTTTCAATTATTTTGTTTTGAGAGAGTTATATCACTTGAGTGAAATCTTATATTTGTTAGTGAGTTACTTTAATGCCCCCTTAAAGTAAAGTCTAAGGGAGGCTAGAGAAGTGTGAGATGATTTTTTTTATGAGATCTTAACATATTTGCATAAGAAATTATGTGATTAGTGAAGAAGAAGTGAGGAGAAATTTTTTTAATCTTTCATGGTGATAATTTTCTTATTACATCTCTTATATATTTACTATCAATGAATAAAAAAAAAGATGAGTTTTCTTGTTAATTCTTTCATATATGTATAATTCTTTAGTTTTATGTTCATGATGTAAAAAAACATAATATGTTCTAATATAGACTTATGATTTAATGAATGCATTGATATTTTCAATATTTCATATCCTTCATCTAATGCATCTAATAATCACATTTGTAATTAAAACTTAGTATGATGTATAGACTTAATGGAGGAATGCCAGAATAATTAGGAGTATTGAAATGGAATATTGGTATGCTAATACATAGGATATTAGAATATTCTAAATTATATTTCGATAGAAAAACTATAGGAAGGTCGTAAACCTTTCTTTTCACCCCTACAAGCTCGATAGAGATCTAGGGATGCATATGCTCTAATCCACATCTATAATTAAAAGTCTCATTAGGAATGTTTTGTTATTTATATTCATTAGTCCAAAACACTTTATTTTTATAATTATTATCTTTCTTTACAAATTTTTTTCACTGATTAAAACTTAAAAACATTCTTTTATTTTTAGTAGGATAAGTCATGCATTCGAAATACCTGTAGTACTTAAGTTTTAATTAAGAAAAATACATCCTTAGGGGTTTGACACTCTACTCCACCACTTTACTACTTCATTTCACATGTATAACTTCATGTTTTAGTGGTCTTAAATTACTTTCACATCAAAGAAAATCTAGGCAGATTTTAAACTCAACAAGTTATATTCTACTTCATACTATCAGATTCTTCCTACTGCTCCATCAAGTGTTTAGCACCATTACAAAGAAAGTAACTTTATATATTATAATTTTAACTACATTGTTAAAACAAGTGCATATTTTAACATACTTATCTTTTATCTTTGTTAAGTTTGATAAAAATTTTGAAATATAAAAAAGAAGTTTTTTATTTTATTGATTAGTTTATGATTTTATTATTTTATCTTTGTTGTATACTTTTTAAATATAGTAAAGTTCCCTTTTTATTTCATCCCAAAATAGAAAGGACCCAAAAAAAAATTTGAAAAATAAAAAAATATTTTAAAAATACCTAACCTTATATAAGATAAGACCATTCTAGACCTTTTAAGGAATATGCTAATCTTGTTATTCAAGGAATCCATTAGGGTATCAATACACCTACTATCTAGGAAAATAATTTTGAATTGAAATAGGTCATAATTAAAATGGTTCAAAATTTCTAGTATGGGTAAAATCCTTTTGAAGATCCTAACTTACACTTGCAAGATTCTTAAATTTTTTATAATATTTTAGTATAATTATGTCATTAATGATGTCATTAGACTTAGATTATTTTCATTATATCTAAAGTACAAGGAAAAGATGTAGTTGAATTCTTTGACCCCATGTTACATAACTACTTAGAATGAGTTGATACACAAGTTCTAGCTAAGTATTTCTCACCTTTAAAAATTGTCAAACTTAGAAATGATATCACTTCTTTTGCTCGGTTTAAAGGATACTTAATATATGAAATTTGTGGGAGATTTATGGATATACTTAGGAAATTCCTTCATCATGCCTTGGTCTATTGGTTGGTTATTAAAACTTTTTATAATTAATTAGTAGGATAATTAGGTCAAACATAAATGATGTAGCTAGAAGATCAATAATGTCTAAATCCTCTTAGGACTTATTTGAACTTATATAGAAAATGTCTATAAATAATTTTTATTGGCCTGCTAATGAGGTGAATCGTAAGAAAGAAGTTGGAGGTTATGAATTGGCTACTTAATAGCTTTTTCTTCAGGTAGCAGTTATTTTAAAAAAAAATATGATATTATTATAGTTAACTCAGGATCAAGATCATTTATACAATTGGAAGAGGTAGTGATTCAATTATGACTGAGGAACTGAAGGAGGTGGAGGAGGTGTTCTTCAAATTCTTCCAGAATAAATGGAAGAGTAGGGTGTGATGTTTAGAAGACTGGCCTAAACCATGGATGGTTTTAGAACTGGAAGATAAAATCTGGTTGGACAGGGAGCTTTCTATGTTTGAGATAAAGGAGGTTGTTATGAAGTTGGGTAATAATAAAGCTCCGAGTTGTGATGGGATTACATACTCTTTTTTTAAAAGCTTATTGGAGCATCATAAGGGAGAATGTTTGTAGAGAGGTTAAACAGTTTTTTTCTACATGTAGGATGTGCAAAGAATGGAAAGATACAATGATTGTGTTGATTCCCAAGACTTCAAACCCAGTTTCTCCAGTTGCTTCTCGTCCAATCAGTTTCTATAATTCAATCTACAAAATTATGGCTAAGGTATTGTCGAATAGAATGGTTGAGATCATTGCTAAGATTATATCTGAAGAACAGATGGTTTTTGTGAAGGGGAGATTAATCTTGGATCACATTCTATTAGCTCAAGAGGTGTTTGATAAGTTAAGGCATTCCAAAGCAAGCAATGGTTTTTAGCTATCAAAGTGGACATGGAGCAGGCATACGATAGTATGAGTTGGGTAACTCTTGAGAAGATGATGTTAAATTTGGGATTCATATTCAATTTTGTCAATTTGGTAATGGAGTGTGTATAGGATCCCAGATTTTTTTATTATAATTAATGGCTCTAATTCCAATTGGATTGAGGAGAGGAGTGGATTCTGGCAAGGGTGTTCACTCTCTCCATTCTTTTTTATTTTGTGCTCATAACTATTATCAAATGCTTTCTTTAGTAGTTGTGGGCATTAAAATTTTTTTTAAGTCCCAAAAGATTTCTCATCTTCTATTTGCATATGATGTCTTGCTTTTTGTTGAATCTAAAGTGAGAAGCGTGAAGAAGGTTAGAGACATTGTTGAAGATTATTGTACTTGGACTGGCCAGAAAATCAAATATAAGAAATCTTCCTTGATGTGTGGTAATTCAGTGCTAAGGAGGAGGAGAAATCATATCTCAAGGATTATGGGAGTCAGATTGGTGGGAGAATTTGATTACTTGGGAATAAAGATGGCTCTGAGGAGATTAAAGAACCTGAATTTTCAAATGCTACTGGATAAATCTATTAAAAAGCTTAATGCTTGGGGAAGTAGGCATATCTCTCTTGCTGGTAGTCTAGTTTTGGTGAAAACTGTTTATATTTCTCTTCCTGTTTTTCTCATGTCGCATTCTCTTATTCCTTTGAGGACATTGAAGGAATGAAAAGTTATGTAGAGATTTCATTTGGAATAGAAGTGATAGAAGCCATGGGATACATTATGTGGCATGGGATTTACTGTGTAAACCGAAGCAGTATGGTGGTTGGGGAGTTCAATTAGCATTATCTAGAAGAGATACTTTGAGGGAAAAATTTGCTTGGAAACTTCTTGATAAACCAGACACTTTGTTGAACAGAAATTTATTGGCCAAGAATGGAGACAAATGGTGGGATAATGTGAATTCTAGAGGTGGTTCTTCCTCTTGGAAGATCATATCTAGTGGATTGAAAGCTCTTAAAAATTTTGTAAGGTGGAACGTTGGGGATGGTTCCAAGATCAATGAATTGAAGGATATTTGGATTTTGGATAAGAGTTTACTCAAATGGAAAACATTTGTTGGAACTTTTGATGATGAAAATACAACTCTTGACTTCTTCATTCAAGATAGAAGATGGGTCTTTGAAAAACTGAGCTTGTATTTTGGTGAAGAGTTGTTGAAAATAATTTGTGATATGCAGATTTTTTAGACTTTTCAAGAAGATAGTTTGGAGCTAAAGTTTAAGATGACAAATAAATCTTTATTAGCTTTACTAATGGAAGATGACTATAAAGATGTTCATGAAGACATTCAGGTATCATGGATATACAAACTGAAATTAAATGCTCGGGTGGAAGTTTTCATTTAGCGGCTTTGTAAGGATGATATACCAACTAAAGTCTTCTTATATAGGATCAGGCTATCAGATACTTATTTGTGTCCATTGGGGTGTGGTGAAATAGAAGATGTAAACCATGTTTTTACTAGATGTTTTAAGCTTTTGAAGGTGATTGATGTTCATAGAAGTTGGGGGTTCCAAATTCCAGATTTTAGGAATTGGGAGGAGTGTTTGCTTGGTCTTATGAGATTGAAGGATTCTAATATAATGATGGTTAGGATCTATTTTACTTTATTGTGGTTTGTTTGGAATAATAGAAATAAGGTGAAGCATGGTAAATCCGAAGACAGCAACATGATGATTGCAGTTTCTACTTTTGGTTTTATTGGCTCAGTTAAAAGAGTTTTTCCCTATCAGATCACTGGGTTGCTAATCAGTCTGTTGGATTGTGTTTAGATAAATGGCAATCCCCTCCACCCGATTGGGTTAAAATAAACTTTGATGCTTCAATTAAAGGTAATTATAAAGCAGGCATTGGAGGTATCATGAGAGATTATAAAGGGAGATTTGTTTCAGCATTTGGATTAGGAAAAGTGCATTGGGACATTGCTCAACTAGAGCTATTACCATTTTCATCACTTAAAGAAGTGTTGCAAGGAAGACTTCAAGATGTTAAAGGCATTATTGTGGAAGGTGACAATAAGAATGTTCTCCTTTTTCTTCAAAACTTATACAGCTTACCTAAGAAGAAGGTTTGGAGCTTGGAAGATGAAGATTTATCTTTTTTTAGTGAGTACAATGATGTTTTATTTCATTGGGTCAATCGTAAATGTAATAAGTTAGCAGATTACTGTGCTAACTTAGCTTTTTCTTATGATTTTTTTTTTGGACTTATTTTGTGAGAGCAATCTTCCTTCTACTTTTGTTAAGTTAGTAAAATAAGATTGTGATAGTTTAGCTTTCTCACATTAGCTTGTATCTAGGCTTCTTTTATTTTATGCAAATTTGCATTCTTCAAAAAAAATGGGGTATTGGTAGTGCTAACCTCTTTTTTGGCAAGATCAGTAGCTTAATGGTCATTCCATCAACTCTTTTCTTCATCCTTACTCCACTGCTGCTATTAAAGTTAAGTTCTTTATCACTAACAACACTTGGGATTATAATAAACTTCTTAACATTCTTCCTGACTCCATTATTTTTAAAATTTTACATCTTCCCATTAGACTATTTAGTATGATTTATTACTTTGTAAACCTTCTCAAATTGGTATGTTTCAATTAAAGGATGATTTGCATGCTTTTAGAGATAAGGATTCTGTTGAGGAAGTTTTTTCTTTGATTTGGCATAAAAGTATTCCTAAAACTATTTCTATTTTTTTCTTGAGAATCATGCAAAAATGCATTCCTACTGTTATGAAATTTATAAAATTACCCTTTTTGGTATCCAAATGTCAATGTTTTTATCATGTGGAGAATATGCATCATGTGTTTATTTCTGGCCCTATTATTGTTAGAAGTTGGACTTATTTTGATGATATTTTTATCATGTGGAGAATTAGTATTTTAAAAAATCTTTCAATCAAAAAACAAAATCTTAACCAAACCAAAATTCACCATAAAGAAATCGTGCGATAATTAAATGCAAAAAAAGGCAGTAGAAAAGAATATTAAAATTTATAGTTGTTCAGTCAAGTCGACCTACGTCCACTCCCCGAAGGCGCCCTCCGAGTATTTCACTAAACTCAGTGACTCTCCTTTTGCTCCCACAGCAAGGTGGAGAAGCCTGTACAAAACCTCCTTTCCACCGACACCGATGAGGTAGAGAACCTAACTCCTTTTGCTTCCTCCTGAAGTAGGCAGAGAATCATGATCGATTGCTAAGTGAACCTCTCTTGAATCTCCAAGAACAAGGGACGACGATCGAAGAAGAAAACTTTGATCCTTGCTTGGAGCAACCTTTGTGAAACCCCTCACAAACTCCCCCTCATAAGATCCACTCTCTCTATCCCTTTCTCTCCCTCTCCTCTAGGCTCTTTTAGGTCAAGACAGTAGTAAAAAATGAGCTCTTGGGTAGAATAAGAGCCCTTAAATATAAGAGTTTTGGAATAGCTCTTATTTTATAAAAACTAACTTTATCGTCCAGGATGATATTGATATCGACCTGGACGATCAGCATAAATTTTGCTCAATCAGCCCAAACAGTTTGGGATGATCAAAATATTTTTATTCATATCATCTACGCTGATATAATATTGTCTTATACGATCAGTACAAATCCTTGAATATTGTTCAGATAATTTCTTTGAAAGGATGTCTGGAAAATAAAAAAATAGCTTGATCGTTCAGGCCAATCTCACGATCATCCTAGACGATTAGTTCAAATTCGTGAAAATCATCCAGATAATCACCCTGAAGGCAGCTGACCGATGAAGACCGTCCAGGAATAACTAAGATTTTTTGAACTGATCATCCCAGCCAATCATGTGATCATACGGGATGATTGAATTGAGTAATGAAAACCTTAATTACTTTTCTTAATAAGAAGATTAATTTAGGCATAATTATGTTGCATCATCATGGGTGATGTCCTTAACGATGTTCAAAAATAAATAATACCTAAAAAGATCTAGCGGTTGATTCTTTCTGATTTGAGCCAATCGTCCCAACCGATACAAATATCGTCTAGGATGATGAGCTTAATGACGGTTGGCTTAACTAGGATACCCTAATTAGGGTTT